GTGTTTACTATTGTCATTTTGCATTATTGACACTATTTTCCTAATTAATGCTGTTCAGTTGCTTTGTCACAATCTGTATTGTTAAAAGCGCTATATAAATAAAGGTGACTTGACTTGACTTGACTTTCATAAAAAAATATATATATAATAATAATTATAATTATAATAATAATATTAAAGGGATAGTTCACCCCAAAAACAACAAAAAAAATCTGTCATTTACTCACCCTTATGTCATTTCAAACCTTTCTTTTGTGGGACTTAAAAGAAGGTATTTTGAAGACTGTTGGTAACAAAATATGTTTTGGTTACCAATGACTTTCATTGTATGAACAAAAAATACTGAGATGTTTCTCAAATTATCTTCTTTTATGTTCCATATATATATATATATATATATAACATATTCCATATGTTAGGCCGTTTTAGCCTAAATGATAAATTGATATACTTATTATTCCATAAATGAAAGAAACATAATATAGTTTCTCATAATAATGTTGGTAGCAGGATTGAAAGATTGAGCTTGTTGAATGTTGTCAACGCTGTTATAATATTGACATTACACAATTATGTAATGATATTGATATTATTTACTTCCTGTTGTGGTGTAAGGGTCCAAATTATGTAATTTATGTCTGGGTATCACAATTATGCAATGTTCCATTTTTAATGGCGGGAAAATCATTCTGTTACAGAGTTGCTCTGAAATTCATTGAATATCATTTCAACCGATTATTTACCGAAACTGCATGTAAAACTGAGTGAGCATCCATTTGAAATCAAATCATGTTTGTTCTTTGTTCCTGACCCTGGAATCTACATCCCCACTGACGTTATTAGGAAGTCATGATCAATAATGTAGAACACTGAGTACAGATGCTGTTTTTACTAGAGCGGTTTTGACATCATGCCGTTCTTCTGTGCGACTGTAAAAAGTCTGTGCTTCTAACTCATTAAAGACGAACTTGGCTCCTTCACCTTATTTCTTTCAGCAGCTTCAGATCAATACTTTTTAAGAGACCATCCATTAAGTCAAACCATCTGTTGCGTCAACCAGAGATGTTTCCCCTTATCAATTTACTTTAAATCAGTACACTTTTTGAATTTAATCACTCACAGTTCACTGCCAGCCTATTTTTTTTTAATACATAATAGATCAGCTCAGTGTATTGGGAACTTCCTCAGGGAAAACATGTGAACTGACATCTTGCAAGCTTAGGTTCCTTTTCATGGTCAATATGAAACGTTCACAACCGATTTTACTTCTATAATATGACATAATTTAGATGGAAAACAGGATGTTCAATAAGTAACATGTACTTCAGGAGTCGATTTTATCTATCAGGAATTGATTGTCAATTTGCTTAGCAGAAGAAAGGCTTGGAGTGCTTAATCAAGAGGCCAATGCTTGGCTGTGAGGAATAAATTGTAAAGTTGTCACTTTGTGAAGGGACACTTGTCTTGACACTTCAGCTTGTCTTGTACGTGATGCATGAATTCCCTCCCTGGTCTGATGAGTCTTGTCTCAATGCTAATTCCATCTTTTTTCCCACTCTCATTTGCATGGCGTCCAGGGGATTTGTCAATTGCTAGTTTTCAAAGTAAGTTTCGTTCCCATTTGGTAGTTTTCACCTTTGGTTGACCCTTATTAAACTCTTTCCTAATTGCTGGTCTGCTCCTATGTAGCCTGACTGACTGACGTGAGGGTAAAGCGGGCTCACAGCAGACTGATTTGCGTTTAGGATTGTGTCCACACGACCATTTACCCACTCTTAAAATTAGTAATAGTGCTGTCTTGTACCATTCAGTTTTGCCCAAGTTTGCTCCTTTTAGTCCCTTCTAGCCATGAATTGTCCTTGCCAGTAGTTTGTTGTTTTTTCCCTCAGTAATTGTGCCAATTACCATGTGATTAATGTGTCACCTTTGTGTCCTACTCTAGATTATTAGTTAATTATGCTGCTCAAATGTTGGCTGCAGTCCAAATTCAAATATTCATCAGAATCCACATTTTGTACTTGGTTAAAAAAATGAACTGGTAATACTTAAGAAGTCCTGCAGAAATTTACCATGGTACTGTTTCCACTAAAATAACGTAGTTAACTAGTTGACTCCGTGATCTGGTTGGAGTAGTTCCCTGGTGGGCAGATTGTTAGTGAATAACAACCTAAACCGAAGGTTCTCAACTTTGACCCTCAATGTCTTCTTTCCTCACTTGATCAAACTCACCGAACTATAACTTTCTAGTAATCCTGAAGACTTCTATTAGTGCAAGTGTGTTATTTAGGGTTGGAGCTAAACTCTGCAGGAAAGTGGACCTTGAAGACAAGAGTTGAGAACCCCTGACCTGAACTTCAGGACGTTCCTCACCCAAAGTTATCATTTCAGAAGACTTGTAGCACACAAGCACCACTTATATGATGGTTCTTGATCTTTTTTGAAGCCGGAAACTTCCAGTCCACAATTGTTATTGCATGGAAAAGAGCGACCAGGATATTCTGCAAAATTGATCCTTTTTTTGTTTCTTGGAAGAAAAAAGAAATGCAGGTTTAGATTGACATGAAGGTGACTGAATCTTTTAAAGGTGTTTCTATCAATTTTGTTTATCGGATCCTACCTTAAAGCGATTTAAAATGGAATTGATTCTGCAGTAACAGAGTGATTGCTTGCCTCTCAACACCTGGAGTTCTGAAACATGTACATCGTGCCATAGCTGCCTGCTACTTGGTCTCTCTTATGGCTTTTCATTCTATGTTTATTCCTCGCTTATTGGCCCCCAACCCTTATTTTCCAAGCTGCCACTTACACAGACTTCATCTAATTAAATATAAAGGTTGCATCTCTATCAGAGACCTACACCTCAGTGTCTAATGATTAGCTTTATTTAGAGCTTTATTGCCATTGCTTGCTCTTGCTTTTAACACTGTGCTCCAAGGCTTTTAGTGTGTTTGCGATCACTGTGCTTTTCCAGATAAGGTATTAAATTACCCAGTGTCCTCTTTGTGTGCATATAATGAGAGAGAGTGCCCTTTCTGTGTTCTCCAGACGTGGTCAGATAGCAGTAATAGAACGGCTAGGGGGCGGGTGCAATGGTTTCCCATCAGCCCTATGTTTTGCTGTTTCATTATTTTGTTATTTTATGTCGTCATTCTGTTCGCATGCAATGTTCAGATCTGATTGTTTCCCCTCTCGTACGTCCATGGTATTTGCCATTTGGTATTTGCCATTTCGTCTTATTATTGAATAATTAGAGTTGTGGGATCAATGAAAAAGATGGATTTTTCATGGAAACATGGTTTTTAGGTATTCTTATGGGATCCAAGGGTTATATTATGGCTAGATGGACAGGCCTTTTGTAATACTGATTGTGATGGAACAACTGTCTTTACTCACATCAATGCTGCCCTGACTCTTCAATCGCCTCTCTTCGGAGAAAAGTGCAATCACAATCCCTGTTGGGTAGCAGTGATGAGGTATACCTTTATAGTGCCTCATCACTACTGCCTTTAAATGCATCACATACCTCTCTACAAGAGACCAATCCCTTCCCCAGTGCATGCACAATAGTTTCCCCATAGCAATCCAGTGGCACCAAAAGTAGAGTCACCTTACGCGCTTTCCAAGGCACAGATTAGAGCTGTAATCGGGCCTTAAAAGTTAGGCCCGACAGAATTCGGCCCGAGCCCGACAAGTACATTTTGATTGACAGCTTTTTAAAAGCCCGAACCCATTTACAGCCCGACATTATTCAAATGTGCGCACGCACATAGCTCTTTTGCCTTTTGTCAAGAATGAGTCATTTATACATGTTTTAACATAATTTATTCATGACTAATGTAGGCTATAGGCCACTTTGAAGTTGGAACAAAGAAATAAAATAAGTCCTCTGTAACATCGTAGCACTCTAAATAGGCCTAGGCATACACTTAGCCTATAAATAGGCCAATGCACCAATAAAGGCGGTCCTGCGCTCACTGATGGTGCGTCCAGCAGCACTGAACACCCTTTCACTGCTGCTGCTGCTACTGGCCAGGATGCATAGTACTGATCTAGCTAATTTTGCAAGTTTTGGGTAGGATGGTTTGTTGATCTTCCACCAGCCAAAAACATCCATTTAATTTTCCATGACAGCCGTTACAATGTAGCGAGTGACCTCGTCATCTTTCCAGTCAGCTTGCTGTACATTTTCATGTCTTTGTTCATGTCCATTTTCGTGTCTTTCTCGCGCTAATTGAAATGCATCACATGACCGCTCATTTATCACGCAAGCCGGAACGCAAGCCCGAACCCGGCCCGAGCCCGTGTAAAATGATATAAATTAAGCCCAAACCCGACGGGTTGATCTTCAGCTCTAGCACAGATACATATAGCAACTGGCCACCCAAGAGGCCGGCCGTGTGATGAGGTGTGGCTGAAGTTAATATTGACTTGTAACTGCCACCTTTAAACGCAGAGCAAGAACCCCTCAAACCTGATCTTTTCCCCTGTGCATGCACAATGGTTTCCCCATAGGTCCAGGAAGGGAGCGGGGAGGGAATTCCTCAACACCTAAAGTAGAGTATTTTCTGAGACACAGCTATGCTTTGCTGCTGACCGACCAAGAAGGCGGCTTTGTGATGAGGTGTAGCTGAAGTTAATATCACTGCTTCCTTTAAATGCAGAGCGTGACTCTCCTCAAGAGACTGGTCCCAACTGTGCATGGGATTGTCCCAATTGGTTCAAGAAAGGAGTAGGCAGAGAATCCCAAACTACAAGAGGTAGAGTTGCCGCACCAACTCACTTTGCCATGGCCCCCGGGGAAGCCAGGTTGTCACACTGTCACAAGAAATGTGCTAAAATTGTACCTTGTACCTAAAATGCCTTGTCCCTTGGGTAGAAGCCTCAGGTACACCTTGTATCTGTACCTTATTTAGGGGTGCATATATAAGGTACAGAGGAGTACCTTTGAGGGTACTGCCCCAATAACGAGCACAGGTTTTTTTCTCAGGATGTATGAAAGCTGCCAGCTTTTGAATTCCAGATTTCAAGGGGAGAGTCTGTAGACCACTGGACCCTGCCTGTGCCTGAACCTTTATTAACACGCCCAGACCTTCACAGTCCAGTTATTCATGGGATAGTTCACCCAAAATGAAAATTATGTCATTAATTGCTCACCCTCATGTCCTTCCAAACCCATAACACCTTAGTTCATCTTCGGAACACAAATTGAGATATTTTTGATGAAGTCCAAGAGCTTTCTGACCTTCCATAGACAGCAACGCAACTACCATGTTCAAGGCACAGAAAGGTAGTAAGGACATCGTTAAAATAGTCCATGTGACATCAGTGGTCCAACCTTAATTTTATGAAGCCATGAGAATACTTTTGTGCCCAAAGAAAACAAAAATACAGACTTTACTCTACAATTTCTTCTATTCTGTGTCAGTCTTCGACGCGCAGCCACGAGAGTACCTCAACGCATGTGTATGGTGCTGCTGATCAAGGAGCCGGCGTTCTGACATAGCATGTGCTGCGCCTTGACACGGAAGAGAAGACATTGTTGAATAAAGTCGTTATTTTGGTTTTCTTTGCGCACAAAAAGTATTTTAGTAGCCTCATAACATTACGGTTGAACCACTGATGTCACATGGACTGTTTTAACGATGTCCTTACTGCCTTTCTGGGCTTTGAACATGCCAGTTGCATTGCTGTCTATGCAGGGTCAGAAAGCTTTCGGATTTCATCAAATATATCTTAATTTGTGTTTCGAAGATGAAAGAAGGTATTATGGGTTTGGAACGACATGAGGGTGAGTAATTAATGACAGCATTTTCATTTTTGGGTGAACTATCCCTTTAAAATCTCCTTTCAGTTCAACCTCATTCTCCTATGGGCACTTGATTCCCCCTTTTTAATATTTGAAAATAATTTCAAATGAAAACCTCTTCAATGATGAAAGCCTGCCACATGATGTAAGTAATGTCTGGTTTTATAACTTACCAAGACGTAGACTCATCAGACTTAGAGCACTGTAAATCCTAAACTATAGAAAATGTTGGTTTGATCATTGTGGGTATATTGGCTAGTCCACAATTGATCTTATTCAGAGACCGAAAGGCGTAACCTAAATAATTTTTTGACGTGACTACCCATAGCTTGCTATTGTAATTTTTGTTATACTCATAATTAAAAAAAAAAAAATTATAATCCTAGACAGACTTGCTGAATGTGCTTTTCTCTGATTGACTACAGAGCCCTGTCCATCACTACTGCTGCAGAGACATATGGCTGAACTCCTTAGTCAAGATAAAGACATGGCTGCCAGTTTCCTCAATAGCGTCTTAAACCAGCTCAATTGGGCCTTCTCCGAATTCATCGGCATGATACAGGAGGTAAGAAACTTTTGCCTTCATACCAGACAAACAGAAAGTCTCACCTCAAAATCAGGCAGAAGTTGAAGCTGCAACAAAAGAAGTTTTGAAAGTACTATAAAGCTAGAGTAAAAGTTTTTTTTGTTTGTTTTTTAACCAAACTAAACATTTGTAGCCGGTTGTTTTCTCCGCCCCACTGATCAGCCCTCTAACACTGTAGCTAACTCAATCAGAGCCAGTAAATGATTCACTATGACTATAATCATGAGACTGCCACTTGATATTTGAACTGAATAACCATTATCTTGCATTTTCAGTGTAAAATGAAAAGTCAAAAGTCTTTGAAATATTCATTAGATGTGTTTGATTGTATCGATAAGAAGTGCCTAATAACAAGACTTCTGCAACTTTTGAAGAAAATGGGAGTGGTGCTTGCCCATGCAAACATCTACGCCACAATGCTAGTGTGCTGTTTTTTAAGCATTTGCTAGACACTTTTTTGGGTGTTAGACACCTATGGTGTCCCAGGGTGGTTCTAGAGTGTTGCTAGGCAGTTATTTGAGTGTTCTAGGTGGTTGCTAAGGCATTGCTAAGGTGTTCTGACTGGTTGTTGATGTGTTGATTGGCGGTGGAGTTTTTTTTATAAAGAGTTTCTAAGATGTTTAGTGCCAGTTAGAGTGTTATTAGGTGGTTGCTTTGGTTTACTGGAAGGTTTCTAGGGTGTTGTTAGGCAATTACTATTAAGTAAGTAAACATCATGCAATTAAAGTGATAGTATGCCTTTCTTCAACAAGTCACATGATTTGAAGTATCATTCACGTTCGTAGTGCAAATACAGACACAGTTTGCATTTCATTTATGTATAATGAAAGCCTGAAACTTAACATGACTTGAAACTAGTGCTGTCAAAATTAGCACATTAACGCATGTGATGAATTTTTCCACTTTAATGGTGTTAAAAATATTTAACGCTGTTAACACAGGGGCGAAGCTAGGGTTGGCCACCCCACGCAAAACTGATGCTTTTCTTGACAGAAATTGTGTTTATTTAGACCCGGAACGTCTTTACAACCACATCAAACGGGAGACTTTTCAGATGCGCACTCCACTTCGCCTCAGCGCCAGGCGCTAGTCAAACGAGCGCGGAAATGGTACAGGTGGCGAGGAGCTTCAGAACATCAGTGCGGTCAGATGAGATGTTGTCAGGCCATATGTCAGTCATTTATTATACCACCATTGATTATAATGGGTTTATGTGAAGACTGTTTTAAGTTAAATTAAACATTGTTATTTTTTTAAAGTCTAATAAATGTTCAAATTGATAGCTCTCATTTATAGGCTTACTGTAATGTTGAATGGCTATAATCAATGGTCAATTTCCTAGATACATCAGTATTGGTATCAGTGATACTCGACTTCAGTCATGAAAAAGATGCCACTAAACAAATATAAAAAAATATATATACTGACTTTGATGCTTGTTCATTTATTTGAAGATTGCATACAATTATTGAAATATAAAAGTATATTTAAAAACTTTAATGTTAGGTAAGATTAATCGCGATTAATTAGTTAAAAAGTTTTAATCGATTGACAGCACTACTTTCTTTTGCTGCCTTCCAAGCACTGGCATTTCCTTCAGGAAATGCAAATTTAGTTTACCTTGTGCTCAATTCACCCCGTTAACAACTTCATTCAGCCGCACACTAATTTGATAATTTGGACACCATGGAAACAACCTTTTGGGAAGAGTAGCGCGCGCGCCCCTCCCGTGGTAGGGTCATTACTAAACACAGGCTTTGGAGTCTCAGGGGAAGATAAAGAAGAAAGCAAAACCTCCCTGGTCTATAATGGCGGGGAATTAAACCTCAGACGTAAAAGCACTTTCTCACCAGGCTTTCTCCTCTACTTTTAAATCAATGTCTTTCAGGAGAGCCGAAGCGCTGAAATTCTACCTATTGCAGATTGGACTTTGATTCGCATGCTACTTTGCCTGGAGGTCTGGCTGGCTCTTAGAAGCGCCTTTCATCTGTGATGATCCACGAATTAGGAGGCACTGGTCTCCAGGGGAGTTTGTGATGTGTTTACGGCCTCAGTTTCAGTCAGCACTAAATTGAAGTGAAGGGTAGATGTAGAAAAGACTGATGAGAATGTCTAAGCATCAAGACTCTGAATACACGTGCACTAAATACAAATGTTTTATACCTAAAGAACTGAATGGTAAAATGTTTTTGCTATTAGGCCTGGGCGATAAACGGTATCAGTATTTATCGAAGGTGCACCTTCATTGATTACGATAGAAAAAAATCCCCAATATAGCGCACAATAGTTCACCTAAAATATAGCGCGTGCTATTAGTGACAATCAGACAGCCAAAAAGTTGTGACATCAGAACACACAAATGCTGAAATGAGTGCCGTGCCTGCGTGATGAGGAGATTGCGATTAAAAAGGAAATTAGTCCAATTTAAAATAAAAATTTGCATTCAAATTTTATGTGTGCGTCAGGGAGACTTATCAAAATGCGTTGATGCTGATGCAAGTCTTTGTTGCGTTTTAATGTTTTTGTTCTTTTAACCAGTTGAAGCCACGAGATGCGCCACTGCTGCGTTTTTTCATTCAAAATATTAGAGGAATAAAGAAGCTCAATGTGGAGATGATCTTGGTTAGGTTAAAACCAGAACGCATGTTCTGCAAATTTTCTAGACCGGCAACTATAACTGTTGCACTCGCGTCTCACACAAGAGATGTATAGAAAGCCATGTAAAGTTAAAAGAGGTTCAACTTTCAGAAAACATGTCTCTAGAATTTGTGGGGGTTTATTCCATTCCACTGTGTCTCATATGTTTTTAAATGCAATCTGTGTGATTGGCACTCCGTCCCTTTTTGTTAAGCTATTCATAAATACATGATGCTGTTTTGTTCATAATTGTTTATGAAATGTATGCAGTTCTATTTAATTTATATATGTTAGTTCAGACATTATGCACTTTTTTATAGATAGTTGTTATTTCATTGCAATGAATAAACAATGCGTTATTTTGCTCATTGCGCCCTTCTGTGGCCTCAGGAGACAAGCCAAAAGTTTCCTTAAAGGTATAGTTCACCCAAAAATGAAAATTCTGTCATTCCAGAACTAAATGTACGGTACTAAAGTAGTGGGACGATTTTGCGCGAACTATTTCCCAATACCATTTAAAGGGTTGCATTCGCACCGACAGTGTGTACTAGGAAGTGACGTAAGCCGGTCGACAGCATCGTCATTTGTGCGCGGCGTTCAACAGAAACAAAGAAGAACAACATTAGCAACAGGAGGATGGAGGACGCTGTGATTGGAGCTGTGTTTTTGTTGTGTCTCGTGGGTTTCACAATAATGGACATGGAAAGTCGACGTATACGTAAAGCGATTGAAAGAACGGAAAGGAGGACTAAGAATCTCCAACGACAACTGGCAGTGCTACATTTGCTACAAGTGCCTGCACTTCAGCGTCCGTCTATCTATCGCTGTTCTCCATACTTGCAAAATAAGTTGACATGCTTACAGTATGTTTACACAGAGTTTTAAATCATGGCGGGTGAGGGTGTTTTCATACGCGTTTGGCCAACCAATGTCTACTTACGTCACGATTAGTACCAGTTGTGCTGGTTAGACCCTGCTCCGGAGGAGGAGCTAATTTGGTTCTCGAAAAAGGCAGTCCGGTACTAAAATCGCTCCCAGTTCCGGCGGTGCGAACATGCCGAAAAGTGGGTAGTTCCACAATTAGTTCTGGTACTATGAAAAGGTTCCCACGGTGCGAAAGGCCCTATTAATTACTCACCTTCATATCGTTCCAAACCCGTAAGACCTTCGTTCATCTTCACACAAATTAAGATATTTTTGATGAAGACCCTGCATAGACAGCAACACAACTGCAATGTTCCCAGGTCCAGAAACGTAGCAAGGACATCTGTAAAATAGTCCATGTGACATCAGGGGTTCAACCGTAATTTTACGAAGCTATGAGAATACTTTTTGTGCGCAAAAAAACATAAAATAACGACTTTTCAACAATTTTTCTCCTCCTCGTTAGGGCTGGGACAATAAATCGAGAAATGATTCAGCATCGATTCTGAGATTTTCCGAAGACATCGCAATTCTCTCTTGAATCGATTCTGAGCTTAGTTTTTAACAGCAGATGACACTGCATGCTTTAGAAATAGACGTATTCTGCTTGCTTCCAGTTACTTACACACGCACTATTGGAACCTAAAATAATCATTCATAAAGTTCGAAAAGGCTGAAGCAAATTACAAGGATGTTCACAGTGGGCTGTGTTTACATTAATCTCGCATCATAAAATCATAAAAGCCGATGTGCAAGTACATTTAACCACTTACATTACTCAGCCGAACGCAAAAGCGCTCTTCTTCGTGAGCATTTGAGTGTCCGGTTACTAGCTTAGAGCGCCATCTACTGTTAAGAACTAAGCTCAGAATCGATTCGAGAGAGAATCACGATGCAGTCCGAAAATCTCAGAATCGATCCACGAATCGCGATGCATCAATTTATTGTCCCAGCCCTACTCCTCGTCCTGTCTGCAGCGACTCGCCGCCAATGTGGAGAGTATCATGACACATGCGCTTGCTTCCACTTCATGTAAACGACACATGCGCATTGCGCTGCTGCTTACGTTAACACACATGCATACAGTGCAGTGCGTACAGTGGTTAAATTTAAACCTTTTTTTATTGCTCTTTGTTTAAAGAGGTTATAAAAAATGTCAATAATTATTGATACCGAAAGATATGAAAAATTGTATCGTGATACATTTTTTTTTAGCTATATCGCTTAACCCTACTTGCTATGCAATTGCTGAGTCATTCTGAGTGGTCCTTGGCATGTTGCCATACAGTTATTAGGGTGTTCTGGGTGGTTGCAGGTTGGTTGCTGGGGTATTCTGGGTCCTTTGCCTAATTCATAAAAGCCCATGGGCTTATCTTCAATCTATTGCTGTTACTCTAATATGAATATGAATAATTTGACTGTCATTGGGTCTTATTTTACCTCATTCCGTGCAACAAGACATACAGCCCCGTATCAGCAGTTTCATAACATCTTTTTTGACCTCCCTGTGTCTCCAATATGGTCTCTTCATGTCTTAATTTCTTTCCTGTCAGATCCAACAGGCAGCTGAGCGGCCTGAGAGGAATTTCGTGGACACGCGGCAGTTAAAAGTGTGCGCGACCTGTTTTGACCTGTCTGTCAGTCTGTTACGGGTCCTGGAGATGACCATCACTCTAGTGCCGGAAATATTCCTGGACTGGACCCGCCCCTCCGCCGAGCTGCTGCTACGCCGATTGGCTCAGGTGAGCGTGATTGACAGCTGGGATGTGTTCTGAAAACGTTGTTCTAAAAACTTGAAAATGAAATGCATTTTATGCTCACCATTAACATTTTTCTAAAGCAGTTTCTTGCAGAACGCTGAGTTAATGATCCTGTTTGAAGCAATTTGCTATTAAACATTTCTGTTTATTTTCTCAGACTCTTGCTTGTGCACAGCTCTCTGACTTTTTCAAAACCTAACAACATTGAGGAAATGTATTGTAATGACTTGTATCATTTATTTATTCATTATTAATTTGTAATTAGAGGGAATTAATGATTATTACTTTATTCATTTTGCTAGAACTCGGGTCTGAATGTCCCAAATCCACCTGATCCAACCATTCCAAATTTGTTAGTTTTACTTCAAATCAAGGTCGTCCAGCGAGCCAGTGATTTTTGGTATCTTTTAACAAATTTAATATGTGTTTCCTTGGCCACAGTCCACACAATCAAGATTAGTTGTACGTTCTTAATAGAGGCAATTATTATAAGTACGCTACGAGATAAGTAGCAAGCAAGGATCGTTTTGGCATAGTTTAACCTTGAATGATCCAGTGGCCTCTCCGTGTCCTGTATATGAAATCCCTACAGTATGAACCTTGTTCAAAAGACGGTCATAATATGAAAAAAACGTATCTCATCTTTTGAAATAAGAGGATAGTGTAGTATGTAGACATCGAACTATACTAGTCTACTGTCTGTGCAGACAATATGTCAGAACCTTCCTCTACAGTCCTGTGTTATTTTTTTATGTTCCATTGTTATTATTATTTGGTTTTGTTTGTTTAATAAATGAAAGCTACAGTTGGGATTTTTTTAGACAATTTTTGCATTGTACCTGATTTACATTTATTCTTTTAGTGGACTGGGTGCTTTAGAAATAGACATCGTGTGAAAAACAAGACTATCAATGGACGCAGTTCGTTCTTTGTGAATCCCACCAAAATGTTATTGAATTGGATAATATAGCGTAGCAGTGCAAAGAATCTGTATTGGATGGAAGCTAATGGTTGGGGTTTATTGATCCATAAATGAGGTCATTTTGTCAAAGCATAAAAGTTCTTACAAGGGTGATGGAGGGGAGGGCAGTCATTATTAGAAAAAAAAAGATGAAAGCTATTTGAGGCTTTTCACCTTTATAGGCATTTTTTTTTAATGAGTGTTTGTTTATGGAAGATATAGGTGCTTTCCACAAATAGGGTACACCTTAGTCTCCCATTACTTAAAACCATTAAATGCACAAATCTCATATTCTTCATTTATGTAATCTTTTTTTTTCCTGACACTGACTAATTGTTCATTTATAGGAAATATAACTTTATTAATAACTAAAATGGGTACATTGGGTGCAAAATTAGCTAGATACTATTGACTGACAGTTGTTTTTAGGTTAAATCTGCAGTTTTTGCAACCCTGTTAACCATTCTGGCATACTCCTATTTTTTATTTGTATTTGATATTTCTTTTTATATATACTGTATTTTAATCTTACTGCAAAGAAATAATGAAATAATAAAAAATAAGGGGTTTAAACTGTATTCATTAATGTCCAAAATTTGGTAACAGGGTTGAAAAAAAATTGCAAACCATATAAAAATAGAACGCATATAATAATTAATTACTTTTATTAACTGTCCTTACGTCCTGAGGTTAGTTATCATTTAACATTTTGCAATTTTCAGAAGGTTACGTACCTCCTTTTTCATTTTCAGATGCTATTTTGCACTCTATTCATGGAAAGTGCCATGCAAATGAGGAGCGGATAGGCTACTGCATGTTTTCAAGGCCTCAATTATGGAGGAGAAGGCTTTGAAAATGTGTTTTCTGGTGGGTTTTTCTCACAGCGCTTACGTGGGCTCTATTCCCAGCTCAGCGTCCGTTCACCTGCGGCTTGTAATCAGGCTTTAACTGAAACACACCTGTGAGCACAGCAGGACTCCACACATCCTTGAGGAGCAGAACCTCCACCTCATGCATACTTATCCATTTACATGTTTTCCTGTCCCTGAAGGATTTATCCTATCTTTCAATACAATTACGTGCGATGCGCTATACTAAACAGCATTAATTGGCACCTGACTGCTTGGTACCTCTGAATTAAATTCTCGGCCGCATGATGCTGAGTCCAAGTGGCGTGCTAAAGGAGCGAAGGGAATAATTATTGCGGTCTGATCACTGATTTATGACCAGATGTGTTTGATTTGCTCACTGAAACCCTTTCAGACTGGAGCAGGTTACATCTGTTCATGTTAAAAGATGTTGCTTTGCTTTGTGGTTTGTAATATAGTCTTATGTTTTTGTTTTTATGTTGTTTTGTTTTTGCCTTGCTTTTTTGTTGTTGTTTTGCTTTGCTTTGTGTTTTTTGTTTTGTTTGTTTGTAATATGTTTTTGTGTTGTGTTTGTTTTGTTTTGTTTTGCTTTCCTTTTTTGTTTTTGGTTTGTTTTTGCTTTGCTTTGGTTTCGTTTGTTTGCAGTGTAATGTTATGTTTTTGTTTTGTGTTTTGCTTTGTTGTTTCTGTCTTGTTTTGTGTTTTGCTTTGCTTTTTTGTTTGTTTGTTTGTTTGCAATGTTTTTTTTCTTTCCTCTTGTTTCTTTGAGTCAACATTTCCTTTAATTAGGATAACATTCTCATCTCTGGTTTATGTTTTTTTTAAATACTAATTTCAGGTTTGACATTTGTTTTTTTATTGTCTTTCTGTAGCTCCTGAACCAGGTGTTAAATCGAGTCACGGCAGAAAGAAACCTCTTTGACAGGGTGGTCAACTTGCGCCTCCCAGGTAATTCTCATCAATTTCCTTCTTATGCAAAAATAATCTTAAATGAATGCAAATAGAAGCATTGAACATGAACTGCATGCTTTAGTACACACTTGAAGATGCACTTGAATGCAATTATATTTCTGAAATGCTTAGTGTGCTGTGCTGAATTTAAACCTCTCAAGTATTTTGGTTCGTCCTTGATCGCGTCCCCCGTGAGCTGAAATATGGTTTGTTGTAACCTAACATTAGACTTTTCACATGGTCCTTTTAATAGCACCTTGTTTCAAGTCCCAGAACAAATAAAAAGTAATTTGATATGCATTTTGCGACGTTCTTGACATCACCTCTGAAACCCTTTCCGAAGTTTGGAAAGTCATCCTGTACACTCAGGGAATGATATGAGAAGAATAGGTCAAGAGATTACACGGCGAGTTAGTATGAAAAAGTAATCCAATTCAGGAGGATACTAAGACTGTCATCAGGCCATTTTTTCAGCCTTGACATTGCAGAACGATAGATTTATAATGAATGAGGTTGGGTCATGTTGTTAGCCTGAACTTCACTCCTAGAAGGGCACACAGAAAAGCCTGACTTCCAATGCTTTTTAAAGTTGACCCCAGGTCTCTTTGGTCTCAGATTCTGTAACCTTCAATTCCACTCAAGTGGCTTTAGTAGATTTAGTTTATTCACCACTTGATGAGTTTCCCCAGACATATTCATTTTTTTGAATTTTTTGGGGGTATTTGATGGTCCATCAGTTAAATTAAGAGCAAATTTTTTATGAAAGCATTATGGTGTCCTTGGAAAAAAGTCAAGCGAAGCAGCATTCGGCAAACTTTGTTTATTTCCATCAAGAATACTGCTTGAACTCCATTGACCTGTGCTTCAGAAAATTGCGTTGCAGAAGAAAATTATCTAAATCTGAAATCACTTTAAATACGTTTTTTTTTTTTTTTGGAGAGTAATTTTCTTCCTAACAAAATGACAATAATGATTTTACTTAATTGTAAACTTGCTCAAATAAAAATGGAAAATTATTTTGTGTTGTATTATATAAAATATAAATATGTATTTATATTAATTAAACATCTAATTTTCAGAAATGTTTATTATTTAGACATAAGTATTATAAGTAGTAGTAATAAAAAATAGTAGTAACTATAGTTATATACACACACACAATGTTATAATATATACTGATAAGAGTTAAATTATGCATTGTATATACAGTATGTATATTGTGTGTGTATATATATATATATATATATATATATATATTTATACAATATACACAAACACACACACACACACACACACACACACACACATATATATATATATATATATATATATAGTATATTTATTTTTTATTTATTTACAGTCACAGTAGCTGTATATCATGAACTCTAAAACAGCAACAACAAAAACAGATTTATTTTTATTATAAAGTCAAAAGTCATTATCTGAACTAGTGATAAAAGCGTGTTTTGTTTTGTTTCGTAGGCCTGGAGAGTGTCGATCACTACCCCATCCTAGTGGCTGTTACAGGGATATTGGTGCGCATTCTGGTCGACTCCGATAAACAAGGGTGAGTTTATGGCTTTGTGTTTCATTATTTTCCCCTGTATATAATGGGATTTCCACATTTATGCGTGTTGCCGGGTTGAATTACTGAAGTAGACTGAGAAAATGTGCATTAAGGTAATATACGGTCACACCTCCCAGCTCTGCGCCGTAGTTTCACACAAACCAAGCTTCTGTTTTATTTGATTCGGTCTGGATGCGGTCAGTGGGACTCATCGACTTGTGTTTCTGGTTCAAGAGGCGTTTTCCTTTTCAAAGAGCACATTTGTTCTGAGGAAATGGGCACACGCCGGAGGTTTGTATGTGTTGGCATGAGTGCCGTGTGACTTTGGTCTGAGCTCCAGGAGCAATCGACAGTTAATTGCATGGTCTGCTGCCTGAGGGGGAGTCTGACAGCCGCCAAGTCCCTGTTGTGTGTCTGTGGGCTGAGAAGAGGGTCAGAGCAACAGGATTCAGGACAGAACCTGTCCTGTGGGGAGGTGAAATCTAATAACGAGCTCCTGTTGAAAGAAATGAGACTTCTGAGAGAGCAAAGAAAGGACAAACAGGGTCTCCAATCCATCACCATTGCTCCAGCTCTCAGGAGTATTATTTTTTGTGTCATTTTTAATTTTGTTTATACTGTAAGCTGTAGCTTTGTGGCAATTTTGTTCTTACTGTTGTATTAGTCCTTCAATCTATATAATTTTTTCAAGATATTTACAAACAACATGCACACTACCATGCAAAATGAACATAATACTTTTAATCAGCAAGGACACAAATCAAAAGTGACCGTAAAGACATTAATAATGTTTACTATATTACAACTTCATATAAAACAAAATAAATGCAGTTCTTTTAAAAATATTTATCAAAGAGTACAGAAAATAATGCATCATGGTTTCCACACAAATATTAAGCAACACAACTGTTTTCAACACTGATAATAATATTAAATGTTTATTGAGCAGCAAATCAACATAATAGATTCAATATATTCAAACAGAAAAGTTGGTTTCTGTTTTTACTGTATTTATGATCAAATAAATGCAGCCTTGGTAAACAGAAAAGTCTACGTTTTAAAAACATGGCAAAACAAACAAAAAATAAATAAATAAATAAATAAAACCTGTTTAGACTTGGTGGAAAATGCCAATGTTTATTGATATTTTTCTTAAATTATAGGCTAATACAGGTATTTGATTTACTTCATGTCACACAGAAATGTGTGACAGAATTTATTTAGTTATTTATTCCAATTAAATTCAATATTTACTGTGACAGGCTTGAAATAATATAGAAACTATTTAATATAGCACTGTATGTTTAGTACAAGTGATAATAAATAATTATTTAACAATTTTTTTGAGTTTTTGGTGTTCTCATACTAGCTCTCATACTTTGGGCCTGAGATGGAAAAATATTAAATTAAATTAAATTAAAAATAAACAAAACAAATGTCAGTATTTCCTGAGAATGAGCAAAATGCTTTCTCATTGCTGATGAAAAGTATGGTGAATAGTGTAAGAACGCAAATTGGGACACAGTCTGCATTTGCTTATCTGTATTTAAAAAAAAAAAAAAAAAGTATTGCGTATCCTTTCAAAAGACATCTCTTTCAGAAATGTATTTTTTGATATGCAGCTTTGATTTTTGTCTGGGGTGTTGAAATAATGAAATCTACCAGGCATATAACTAGGATCACGACTGGCCTTCAAGGACACTTCTGAGGATATTTAAAGGATAGTCCTGCGTGTAGCTGGAATCTGATGAAGCTGTCAGTAGAAATGGGCAGTGGACGGGCTTTTATTGCCATCGCTCTAAGGCCACTGATTGCTTGTTTTGATATCACTGTTGCATTTTGAGGGTTTGACTGCCGCTGCTCTTGTTCAGTATTCTTTATGTGCAGCTGATTTAGTAGTTCGATGTCTTTTGAGATTAACTGTTAGATTTGAGAATTAAGGTGGAGTCTATTTGTAAAATTATGCGCATGAGGCTTTTGCTTTATTTGAATAGCTCACAACATTTAAACATCACAGTTTGCAGTGTGATACAGTATAAAATACACTTTTACTAATAACATGGACACCTTTTTTAGCATCAAAAGATTTGTTACATTTATTTTTGTTTAATCTTTGTTTTTGTTTTGTTTTGTTTTTGTTTTGCCTTTTTTGTTTTTGTTTAGTTTTTGTTCTGTTTTGTTTTTGCTTTGACGTTTTGTTTTTGTTTTGCCTTTTTGTTCTGTTATGTTTTTGTTCCGTTTTGTTTTTGCTTTGTTTTGTGTTGTTTTTTCCGGTTTGCTTTGTAGTTTTGTTTGCTCTTTTTGTTGTTTTTGTTTTGTTTTTGCTTTTTGTCTTGCCTTTTTTGTTGTTTTTGTTTCGTTTTTTTCTATTATGTTTTTGTTCTGTTTTGTTTTTGCTTTTTGTTTTGCCTTTTTTGTTGTTTTTGTTTAGTTTTTGTTCTATTATATTCTGTTTAATTTTGTCAGTTATACCCCTTCTTAATTTTACATGTTAGTGAATTATGTAATATGAATCTTAACAGATCTTCAGGATCTACTAAGCTGCTTTGCAGTTTTTCTGCTGTTGCCCACAGCAACTGCACCAATTACCCAGAATGTTGTGGTGCTCTCTTCTCAAGATGGCCTAGCTTCTCTCTGCACATGCTGCGATAAGACCTGACCTTTCTCTTTGAATGTCACCAGGCTTCTTCTACTTGTTTTATAAGGTCTTTTGATAAGGTCGCACTAAGCCTGTACACGCACTGGACACAGACATTGAGTTTGTCAGGTCACTGCTGTTTACAGGTGAACACGAGAGATTGTGTCTTGAGAAGATGACCTTTACGCACTTGAAAATACCGCAACTAAGCTAAGGTGAAAAACAACTGTCCTCACTGCTTTCTGTGAGCGTTTAGAAGTGTGCAGCATGTCTGTAGGTTTTAATTTGACTTGTTCTCGACTCACTAATGGTTTGTTCTGACTTGAAAGCCAGACAGTTCCTTGATAATCCAGTTTGTTGGTAGATATCATATGTTCAGATAAATAGCATTTCGATTGGGATCGTTTTATGGCCTTGCAACTTCGCTTTTAGATTGATTTATGCAAGAAAACTAGGTCTGGGAACAGTCGTGACAAATGAATGAGGAATTTTAAAGGGGTCATATGATGCGATTTAAATTTTTCCTTTCTCTTTGGAGTGTTACAAGCTCTTGGTGCATAAAGAAGATCTGTAAAGTTGCAAAGACTAAAGTCTCAAATCCAAAGAGATATTCTTTATAAAAGTTCAGAGTCAGCCACACCTACCTAAAACGGCTCGTTCTAACACGCCTCCACATATCTACCTCACTATGTGGGAAGATTTGCATAACGCCGCCCAAATGTTCACGCAAAGAAAGAAGGCATAACTTTTATTCTCGCTATAGTATTGTTGCCACCGCCATGTTGTGAAGGCGCTGTGTGCTTGGTTGTGAAAGCGAAACTACTTTGTTTGGTCTTCCAAAAGAGGACGATATCTGCTTCGTCATGCCTGGAGCTGATCCGTGCTGGTTGCTGAGGAAATACTTCAACTTCACGCTGTCGATCTCCGGATCGGCTTTCACCGTGGACGAAGCGGAGTCCAGCCCGGGGTCGTCACAAGTGGTTGCTGCAGGCATCACAATATGGTAGGGACGTAACATTTCTGTCACACGCTTGAGGAATTTGGCCAATCACAACGCACTAGATAGCTAGCCAATCAGAGCACACCTCGCTTTTTCAGACCGATGAGCTTTGTAAAAATCAACGCGTTTCAGAAAGGCGGGGCATAGAGGAGAAACAATAATGTACAGTATGTGGAAAATAATGTGTTTTTGAACCTTAAACCGCATAAACACATTTCATTACACCAAATGAACCAAATAATGTTCTTTTTAGCAGCATCATATGACCCCTTTAATGAATGAGTAAAAAAAAAACTCTCTTTGAATCAGATTAATGATTCGCTTGTTGGGTTTTGATGCATTCACTGAACTGTCTTTCATTTTTAATTTATTCATTTAAAAAAAAAAGAACATTAACCAAAAATATTATTTTTGTTTGATGTATTTACAGTATATAAATTAGTGTTTATTACCTATTATTATTATTATTAGTAGTAGTAGTAGTACTATTATTATTTGGACCAATTATTTTTGGAATTAAGGACTGTAAAGTAAAATGACTTGCCTTTCCCAACCCTTGTTTTGTTGCTTTTTTGTTGCATTGTTTTCTTTTGCTTTGTTTGGTTTTTGTTACATTGTTTTGTTTTGTTGCTTTGTTTTGTTTTTGTTACATTTTTTGTTTTGTTGCTTTACTTTTTTTGCTTTGTTGCTTAGTTTTTGGTTTTTGTGTTGCTTTTTGTTTTGTTGGAATTAAGGACTGTTAAGTAAAATTCCTTATCTTTCCCATTCCTTGCTTTGTTGCTTTTTATTTTTTTGCTTTCTTTTTGTTTAGGTTTTTTT